GGGGCTTATACCAGTGACGAGAGAACAACTGCTCTCGACGTGGCCACGTCCCTGAAGGATGACAAACGCGTGGTGTTAAGGCAGGGAGAGCCCCCCCCCACACCCCCCCAGGCTGGCCCCACACCTGACGTTTGCCAAATGAGCTTTTTAATGGGCTTCGGGGAGGATTACCGCTAATCTCAAAAACCTTCTGGACAAAGTATAAATGCATCTGTTTTGGCCCAATGCCCTGGGGGGCGTCAGAGAGTGACGATCGGCTGCAACCTGCGATCTCCTTCCGGCGGTCGCTCTCGGCTACAGGGCACCTCCTCTCGGCTGGCGTCCGGCCCCGGCCGCCTCCTCGCCCCCGCCCCACCTCCGTCACTCGGCGGCGAAGCGACACAGAGCAGGTCTCTGCAAGGTTGCGGCACGCGCGGCCATTTGCATGTGCGAATAGAATCGCATTTCATGCGCTGCTGCATTCGTGTCGGGACTCGCAGGCGCCTGAGGGTCGCCCATGACCGACCGTCGACACATACGCCGGCTCTGAAAGACAGGCCCGCGGGCCATGGATACACCACTGTGAATCTCTACGCATACTCCTTTAATCCGCTCCCCTAAACACAGGACACTACCCGGGGGGGGTCTGTAATCGACGCCTTCCCATCCACTTCCAGCTTACCCCCAGATTTTTCCTACCTACCAAACGCCGATTACAGGAGATGCAAACGCCATATCCGTTACCTACAGCAGGTCCGGACACAGCCTCACTAGAGCGACACGTACGTTCACTGTAATTACCGGGACACCACCGAGGATTCTGTTTACTAACATTTGCAAACAAACTGCCCAGAGACCAATTTGAAATGCTCTCTATAAAGGTGTGTATAAAATGTGCTACTTACTTTACCAACAAAGCAATATTTACACTTTGGATAACTACCGTTTCCTAGAAAATGCTTTGCAGAAACAATCCAAATATTATTATTTCTAAAATTTAAGAAATACAGGGATTCAGAATCAGGTTCAAGTCCTGCTTGAATCAGGGTACTTCTTGATAATGGATATAAACTCACCAAACGTTTATCTTAAACGCTGTTGGCCGAAGCACGTTTAGACGTGGAAAACGGAAAGGCTTCCCTGTCGCCTGATCCGCTTTCTCAGCTTATCGGGGTTCCCCGGTCTACGGGCCGGGCAGGACCGCACTGGCTAGCTGGTTACTCTCCGCCATGCGGGCCGGGCCCGCGGCCAAAACCAGCCCCCAGGATCACGGATCCTAATTCACTGGCATCTGCAGAGGACTTCCACTTCCTCTCAGCGCGCCGCCGGGCTCGCGGTCAACTCCAGCACCTCCGCCCGGCGATTTTTAAGACAAAATCTGCGATGCAGGTTAATCATCAATCATTCTTTCCTCAAACTCCCATCAGAGTTTCTTCCAGAGAATTGAGAACACGGGAATTTAATAAACAACACCCCCCCCCCTGTTTTTCATATTATAAATCCAGCTCCAGACAACATTTTTGGACCTTCAGACCACAAGTGTTTTGGGACCGGCTCACATTGGGCACGGTCGGGGATCTACAGCCAAATACAGACCCTCAGGCCCAAGGGCTCGAGGGGAGCGGCCCGATACAGCACACTGTCGCTCTGCCAAACGGCCTGGCAGCCAGAAAAATCGAGCTCCCCAGTCCTCCAGAACCCTGCCCTCCCCGAGCGGCCAGTCCTCAGAAAACACGGAGCCCTTTTCCCCGCCAATGGGAGACGGTCGAGGTCCAGCGGGAGCCACCCAGCGGCCAATGGAGGCCGGCGCTGTGCGTCACACACCGCGATTCATCAACCTGGCGGGAATCTCTGGGAGGCACCCGGCACGGGCGACAAGGGACGCCTCTATCTTTAGGGCGACAAGAATTCCAGATAACCTGCCTCGACTTTTGTAGGCGGGAGGGGAAATGGCTTTGGAAGATCCCGGAAAACGATTAGCAGCGAGGCCATTTCAAGCAGATCTTCCAGATCCTACATGTTACAGTAGCGTAAATTTTAAAGATCTGATCTTGAGGACTTCGAGACATTCGGAGTCCAACAGGCCAATCGGACGTCTGCTTATTAGACTGTATTGTTTAAAATCAGGAACACATCCGAATGAAGGACGTTACAAGATCTCTGGTCCACAATCCCAGCAACCTAACACGTGACACACAATGTGGTGAGAAGCCCCCCCCCCCCGAACCATCAGCGTGACGACTATGGGTATCCCGCTCACTTCCGTGCAGAAGCCCTGGTGTCGTTAGCTGGCCGAGCCCAACCTGCCAGGCTGTACACAGAACGGCGGAGCGCTGGCAGAAATTCTGGAGAAATCCGATGCCAAGAGCGAGATGGAAAACCACCCGGCTTCCGATTTTTTCCCCCTCCCCTTAATCCAAGGTTTTCGAGCCCTTGACCAGACAAAGTCACTGTAATCACTAAGGAGACGCAAGGGCCAATGACACACCATCACGGGGGGGGG